GTGTAAAGCCTTGTTCTCCTCTCCCCCCCCCCCCTCTAGCCAGTAGACTGGGGGAGCACAAGAAACTAGGAAGGGGACACAGCCGGGACAGGTGACCCCAACTAAGCAAAGGGATATTCCATACCATATCACGTCATAAAACTAGGGGGGGTAGGGGGAGGCAAGGAGGGACACTGCTCAGGGACATGCTAGTTGGTTGGTGGTCAACCATTGTTTTCATTTGCATCATTTGTCTTCCTTGGGTTTTATTTTTCAGTCTGTTGTTTTTTCCTCTTTTCCTTACTACTGCTACTACTATTATTATTATTATTAAATAATTAAACTCTTTTTATCTCAACTCATGAATTTTCTCACTTTTACACCTCCAATTCTCACCGGGGGCAGAGAGAAAATGAATGAGAGGCTGTGTGGTGCTTAATTGCCAGCCAGGGTTAAACCATGAAAATAGAGAACTTTGAAAAATTAGGAAATGGTTTTTTAGATTTCTATTTTAGAGGTAACAATCCCGAGCTGAACTTAAATATTTCCTTAGTCTGGATTTAGCTTTACATCTGCAGAGGAAAATAAGTGGATAAAAGATGGGATTCAAGGAGTAAAATGTAAGGGGATGCCAGAGGCTGCAATATGGATGGAGAAACCAGAGTTAGAGTAAGAACCAGAGTAGAAGATGAGAGAAGCTCATGAGTTATATACAACCAATTTTCTCATAGATACATGGTTTCTTTGTTTGGTGTTATATGGCATGCAATTTTCAAATCTGTGCATTTACTTTATAAGACTTAAACAAGCTTCTTAGATATAAAGAAATCTCTGAGAGATTTGATTTGCCAAATTCCAATGGAGATGAGGATTAGCGTTTGTACAATAGCCCACCACAAAATATTGCTGTTGGTTTCTTCACTTGTCTTCCGAAATTTTTCTTCACGCTCCTGAAGAAAAAAGGAAAAGCAGAATTATTACCTTTTGGCATTTGTATGTTTTATGCTGCTATCTGAGTAAACAGACAGGCATCCCTCTTCTGCATGGTAGTGAACAAACACTTTTTTCACATTGATAAAAATGAAAGCTTGTTCTTATCCATAAGGCAAATGTCTTTACAAATTAAAACAGAGAAGCAGACACACTGTATCCTGAAGCAGAAAGGCAAACAGAGCTTTCCCTTGTTCACAAAATATATATTGTGTTAAATATGTTCAACTAGTACAGGCTTAAGCCTTTTTAGGTTTGCAGTCACTTTCATAATGCAGTCAATAACCTTTTTGCAGGCAAATTTCTTTTTTTTAGGTAACTAGTTGATGTATTTCAAACATAGTCTGCCTGCCTGCATATGTATAGAAAAGTGAAGACAACGGGTGTACGCTTGTTTGAAGGAGGGCTTTATTTCTAACTGCATGGACATATATAAATATGCATTCAGTCATTTCCTTACCCACGCCAATAAAGTTTATGCACATGGACCAGGGTGGAAGCAACAGCTGGCAACATCACCAGCAACGGTACCTGCCACATGCTCAGCTGCCATTACTGACTCTGACCAAGAAAACTATATTTCAAAATTCCTGCTTTAAAATAACACCTGTTGCTATAAACATGAGTTCACACTGATTAATTAGTTTTTATGTTACAGCTTAAAAATATTTTGCAAGGTAATGATGTAGTCTATATTGGTTAAATCCCAATAGATTTTCATGAGTTAGTTAAAAATAACACTGCAATTAAATAATAAACCTCATAAAACTTTATAAATCAGTAAGTTTATGTACAATATTTTTAACATTTCCTTTAGGGAACATACATACTCTTTCATAGTTTTGTTCTTTGGATATATGATGAATTTGCTCGATTAGATGTTCTAGTCTAAAGTTAACTCCATTTACTTTGTCTTTGGCTTGAACAACAGATTCATCCAAAAAATGTTCTCCAACTCTAATGTCCAAATGGATACGCTGCAAACAGAAAAAATATTCTCATTACTGTGTCTTTGTGTTTTCAAAATTCCTTAGGAAAAAAAAAAAAAAAACGACCAACAGATAATTTCCCTTTAAGGTCATTACAGGAATAGTTTTAATTGCTTGTAGAAATCCTTCCTAAAATTAGAATCAGGTGGGATATTTAAAGTGTTTCTTAATTTTATTTTTAAATTAATTATACAAATATTAGGGCATTATTTTATGCTAGAATAGATTCAATAACCATGAAAGAGTTTTCTATTCTTTGTTTAAATTAGTTTTAAAAAAATGAGCACAATTGGGACTGCTGTATTTCACATTCCTTCCTAATATTGCAGAAATTATATTCCTCAATACTACTGCAGCAAGCATTTTATAGATGCTTTTCTGGGTTTCCTCCACTACCAGTTAGGAATATAATACTGGAAGAAGACCAGCTGAATCATTATTTGCAGTTTATCATAGGTATTAAAGCAGAACCATCCAAAAGGTATCATTTTTCTTTCTCCACATACAGTTTATCTGGTATGAAATACCTCCCAATACTCTGTAAGCTATTGTATGAACTATAGCAAAAATGCCCTAAACCCGTAAAGCAATAGACTCATAGAAAGAAAAGAGAAGAACGCAGTTTGCAATATCATGCAACTTATTTTGGCATGAATTAAAAATTTTACTGAAACTAACAGGAAAAAGTTCTCCTAGAAGCCAATTTGTACCTAAGAGAAAATAAAAAACTCTTAGCCAAATGATAATCTGCAGAAATCCTAGAGTTTCATATGACCAGGATAGAAGTTTGGTCTACTCAGACATCAACCACAAATGAAAAGCACATCTTGTTTCAGTTACCTAAATGAACATCCAGAAATCCTTCTCACAACCTTATGGTAGCCTTTGTCCATTAATTTATTAAACTTTGCTTTGAAGCAGCTCAGATAACCACCACTGCATCTGCTTTTTACAGAAGATGCTTAAAGCTTTACCTTAGCTAAAGAATGTTTTTCCTTTTGTGATCTTTATTCCTGCAGATATAATTATAAAGAGCAATATTTTCCTTTTTTACTTCTATGTTCTTAAGCTAAACAAACCACTCTGCTTAATATTTGCGCTATTAATGTTCTCCTTCCCTGCACCTATTCACTTCTTTTAAAGAGGATGACCAGAACTGTCCATGGTGCGTGCATCATGCAAAATGATGTAAATGATTAATACATCTCCATCTATACCAGGTAAAAATCTCCTGGTGTATCGTTAGAATCACATTCAAGGTGTGTAGTTAACTGTGACCAACTGATGCCTTATCCCCCTTACACTCTCTAGCTGATGAGCTCCACAATTTTTTTATTAGTACAACCTAAGTGCTTTTGCAATGTGTATGATGAAATTTCCACTCATTTCCATGAATCAGTCCATAAGAACCTACTTATTCCAGTGTAATAGTTCCACTTACTATTAACTCTTCTCAGTTCTGTCATCTACCTGTTCCAAAAGCATACATCTAGGAAGAAATTTGACCTACCTCACTTAACACATTTATGAGATGTTTATATCTAGTGGTTATCTAACTTTTTTCAGTGAACAGCCAAAAAAAAAAAAAAAGCACCTCTAGAGAGTAATTCTTCTCACCTGTTCAATTGTCTTTTGAGAAGAGGCATATAGATAAAATTTTCAAGACAGTGTTTATGAAATTGTTTACTGAAATAGATTAGAACCGTGATATCACCTCTGATGGCTCCTTTCCCTCCCCCCCCCAAAATCTACATGAAGACCAACTTTACTGGTAGTAGACTAATGTTAAGTGTGCTAATATATTCTTAACTGAATGTCTTTCAAAAATTCAATTGTTTAAATTTTCTTTAGGAATTCAATCTAAGTTAGTGAAGACATGGAATATCTTTATGACAAGTGTTTGTGTTAGTCAATCTTACATATCTATCTTTTTGAACCAAATACTTGTTCTTCTTATTGATCAGAATCTTTCACATTCAAAGCACTGTACAAACATTAAATCACTCTATAGTTAATAATCTTGCCTCTTTAATCTTGACTTCTTAAATATCAGAACAGTCTTTTTATCTCTTCGTCTTGATAATTCTAGGTTTGTCATCTTTAATTGCTGGGAAATGTTGAATTATCTGCTAGAAGTTAGACCAACTTCTATTGTAGTTTGTATACGATTGCTAGTACTACAAGAAAGAATATTTAAGAAATACACCTAAAGAATATTTAAGAAATACCCTTACCAGTTTACTTCCTGCAAATGCCACAAATCTTGTGGAGTTAGACTGTAAACAGATAACATGCTCCCCAGATAGATAGGATGTAAAAGAAAATGTTCCTTGTGGCCCATACAGTTTTGACAATAGTACCTGTAATTTAGATGTTATATACGTTGGGTATGTGCATTATAAATATCAATAAAGCAATCAAAAAAAAGTACTGTGAATTAGTAATCAATTAACCCATTGAAATCATTAAATTTATCTGAATTTCAGAATAGATTTAGAGAAAAATAATTTTAACTCAATGTGAAAATTGAAATGCTATAGATTTCTGCAATGTACAAAATCCAATACTCTCTAAAGCATTTAAAGTTTGAAAACTAATCATAGAATCATAGAATCACAGAATGGTTTGGGTTGGAAGTCACCTTAAAGATCATCTAGTTCCAACCCCCCTGCCATGGGCAGGGACACCCTCCACTAGACCACGTTGCCCAAAGCCCCATCCAACCTGGTCTTGAACACTGCCAGGGATGGGGCATCCACAGCTTCTCTGGGCAACCTGTGCCAGTGCCTCACCACCCTCACAGGGAAGAATTTCTTCCTGATATCAAATCTAAATCTCCTCTCCTTCAGCTTAAGGCCATTACCCCTTTCCCTGTCACTCCATGCCCTTGTAAATAGTCCCTCTCCAGCTTTCCTGTAGCCCCCTGGTAGGTACTCCAGGCTGCACAACCCCAACTCTCTCAGCCTGTCCTCATACGACAGGTGCTCCAGCCCTCTGATCATCTTTGTGACCCTCCTCTGGACTTGCTTCAACAGCTCCATGTCCTTCTTAGGTTGAGGTCCCAGAGCTGAACGCAGTACAGACCTTGTCTGGGCACAGAATTGAATTGTCTGTTGCTGAAAGAGCTCAGGACCTCATGGCAACCAGGCAGTGGCTGTGCGTGATGGCTATATGCAGCCTCATGGGAATCTTGACTTTTGCAGTTTAGTTTATCATCACCAGCCTTCCTTTCTGGTGCTCAAATACATTCTGTATCGTTTTGCTTCATTAGTGAATTTTCTTTTTTTTTAAATTTAGCCTTTTTTCTCAGTTGTCACTTACTATTCTTAATGACATTTTCCCAAATCTGTTAGTAATGCAAAAAGTGTCCAGACACATAATTATCAAATATTGTCATTTCTATTTCCTTTGATAGCAATCACAAAGTGCTTATACCTATCAGCATCAAAATACTGAACTAGCTGGTAGACTGTGGATTTACATTTTCCCTGAAAGTGTCTATTTTGGGGGTTTTTTTTAGGTAATACTGCCTGCCACTGACAAAGTCAATTCATAAATCCTACAGAAACATTCATAAAGCATGTTTACCTCAGCAGATGGAGTTGTGACAGTCACAAACATTCCCAAACCAGGAGCAGATTCAAGAAACTCTTGGTTATGTATATCCCAACGTTGTACTTTATAGTTCCCTGAATAAAAACATAGATAAAAATCGGTTAAATAAAACACAGCTTAATATTAAACATCTTTATTGCTTTTTCAGCAAAAATATAAAGATAAATGATTAGCAATAAAACAATATATGTATTTCATGTGCTTATGATTAAAATTACTCAGGGGGCACTTTATAACAGTATGAAATGCAATAAATTTTTACTACAATAGAAAATGTTCTAGAAAACAACAAAAATGGTTGATTAACAAGAAATACTTTCTGATTGCTCCTAATGCTCTGGCAAGATTAGCATACAGAAGGCACACTGAGACCTCCAAAAGCATAAGTGTGCTGTATTCAAATTACATTTTTAGGATTGTCTTTCCTATTGAGAACATTATTTATAAAAAAGATGAGTATATAATATTCTAACTATCCCCTTTCAGTCTTGCATTTATAGTCTTGTCAACAAATTTAATGTGCTTATGATATCCCAGGCGAAATGGAACTTAAGTACATCTTGCATTGCTTCTTTCCAGACCCATGTTAATCCAAAAAGTAACTCTGCCATTCATATGGGGAAAATCATGTTGCAGAAATTCTGGTAAGAATGAGTAAATCAGTCAGAACATATAGAAGCCCACACTGAAGCAGCAATTCCACTGCTGTAGAATTAGAAGACATTCTTTGTCTAGTCAGTTAAGCACTCTGGAAACCTGCATTTCTTTGTGTGAGGACATTATGACTAGCCCCTGCTGCGGGGAGTTATTTTTGGTGTGCCCTCTTTCTTATGACCATGGGTTTACCATATTCATCAATCACAGGTTTTCCTGTTACAAGTTATGTTTCTTATTGCATAGGTTAGATCATCGCAGAGCATTGACAGGTACTTACCAATTACCAACGTGTCGCTGGGAACATCTTCAATTATACATTTCTCTTCTCTTTCTCCACTGTGAAAATATAAAGCAAGTGAAAAAGAAATCCAAAAGTTCGTAAGAAATCCTATTAATTGGCTTTTCATGATTTTTATGTATCCCAGTAGTACTGCTTTTGAAGATAACTATTTAGAAATGTATGTAGTCCTGTGATCGTTCCTTGTTTGCTGCTTATCAGTATATTTTTGATGGAGAAAAAAAAACTGTGAGAAAAGGCAGCTGGTGATTACACATTTATAAATAACTACAGTATGTTCTGCAGAATGAGATAACATGAAAAAGATAACTTGTAAAATCTTTCTTCTTTCCCAGCATCTAGATTAAATTTTTATTTTATACACATAGAAGAACATGAAACTGGAAAGGACTTCTCAGGTACTTGAGATCAGTTCTCTAGATTACTGTCAGCAACCACACTGGCTATCTCTTTCCATAAACTGCTCAATTTTCAACTTAAATGAACTTAGTAACTTATATTTCACATTTATTCTGGGTGATTATTCCAGAGCTACACTCCTCTTTTATTAAGAAATCTTGTAATTTCCAACTCAAATCATTGGACATATGTATATAGCTATACAAACCCCATAGGGACTACATAAATGGGCTGAAATAAATATGAAGGAGAAAGTCAAAAGAACTTTATCAGAAGACTCTGAAACACTAGTGAATAAGATACAGCAGGAAAAATAAAATTAACACTTTCTGAATAAGATTTATTTACGTAAGAATATCTTTCTCTTAGATACTGCCTAATAAATTCTCTAATGAAAGTTATAGTGTAAATTAAATAATGATGGGGGGTTTATTATTACCCTTTGTACTAATATAGACCAAACAATCTATATGTCTGATGACAAACTCAGTTACCACTCAAGCGTTCCTTGTCTTACAAAGTGAGATCACTGTGTCTGAAAGGTTGGCCTCAATGTGAGAAGATACGCTGTCATTTTCCAGCAGGGAGGACCCACCTATGGCATCATCTGGAGTAGGGCTGAACCACCTTTGAGCTCATTTTCTCTTTCAGAAGCTTGCTACACTCCTGTTGTAAGACTCCGTGGTTTGATCACTGACTGTCTCCACTCTGCCAAGTTCCTCAGCAGCACTTGGCATTTGCAGATGAAATTGTTAACTCATGTCCTTGAATGCGTCTTTGAGGAACTTCAGAGTTCTGTCATCTTGACTTCAGGGTATGGGATATAAGCAACCTCTACTGCACACACAGATGCCATACAGGTGGCATGCAGTGCCATAGACAGGGAAACCGCCATCTCCATACTGGAATTTTACCAGCATTTATTTTGCTTGAAAAGGTGGTAGCTGGGTTTTATTTTATGTTTTGTTTTTATATAGCTGTCAAATGCTCAGCTTCATAAGCTTCATCCTCAACACTATGCGTGCAGCGAAGGATCGCGACTAGCCCTTTTCCTTTATTATTCAACACCTCCTCTGAATTCTTCTTTCAATTTCCTCATAGAATGTCCCATTTGCATTTACTCTTATTTATTGACATCTATTTATTAGTAAATAGAACTATGTTGGTCTTCCTATCCTTTTCTGAGCAGCCCTCCTGAGAATCTGCTTTAGCAGGAGATGCATTCTGCTAGTGCTGGTAGCTGTAGAATTGGCTCCATCATGACACAAGAACATGTATTTTACTAGTATCAAGGAAAAAGGATGGACAGCAACTCATCTTCAATATCTATAACCTCAATACCTAAAATTTCAGGATGGTGACTCTTACTGGATTATTTCACATCTGCTGGTTTTTTGCCCTTCACTGCACCTGGTATCTATAAGTTGTCTCAATAAAAAATGTCTTTGTGTAACATTGACACAGGTTCACAACCATTGTAAGTTCAATGCATTCCACAGCATGAAGTACCTTCACAGAAGTTCTAGCACAAGTATTAGTTCACTTCCAGCAAAATACAACATCCCTATACTGATAAAGATGTTGTCAAAGACAAGGAGCCTTGATTCCTTCAACATTACTTCTTTTTCTTTGACTCCATATGGTTAAGGATAGAGGGATACATTTCATGGCCATTGAATCCTTAGGAGTCTCAAGGGTGATATTAGGACACGGTTACTACTTTAGCATTTATCCATCAGAAATAATTTTAGATTTTACAGAATCTCATCATGTAATTGGACTCTCACCCCTCCACCACAGGGAGATCTTGACTGACATGCACCTGCATAAATTCTCATGCCATACTACACCTGCAAGAAGTATATGTTTGTCTGCAGATTGTGATCTGCTTAAGAAATCATCCTTTTAGCTTTTCATTCACTACTTGAGGTTTCCAAAATTCCTTGTTCCAATGGTAGAACACACAATATACAAGGGGAATCCACTTTATCCTTCACTCTGTCCAGACCCATTGGGACAGACACATTACTACTGTACTTTTGGCTAGCAAATGCTAACATAGTAGGGCTGCTGGACTGCAGACAACAAAAATAAGTCAGCCTGCAGGTGATCAGGTTGTCATGCAGCATACTGAGAGCTTTTATGTCTCAGGCATTCACAGTACCTGTAAATTACCATGGGGAAATTCCGAATTGCTGTATCAATTGTTAGATTTATTTTCTAAGCACGTTAAATATTGTCATGGAATAATCTGAGTTACTTTATTACATTGGATCATTCATGACAGATCAGATATTCCCAATGTACTTCAATTACCTGGGACTGGAAATATAATGAAATGGACTTGTTTGTCTTCAAAATGATCAAGTACTTTCAAATCTTTTGCTGGCACTCCAGTTATGTCCTGATGGGGACAGTGCTCATTCAGTGATCAGAACAGGTGGCATATGCTTTCCCTCCCTTTCTAGAAGTTAGGCACATATTAGTTTCCGTGACCATGGTTAACTTAAGCAATGTAGCAAGGATATTAGAGCTATTTTTCAATGAATCCAAGACTGTCCCTCCCCAAAATGATCTTTAACAGCAGACCCTGTGCCATTTTGACAATTGCCTGCAACATTTCCTCACAGGCTTGGTGGATGAGATTTGGTCAGTTAGAGTTGGCCCATTTATACAGTACACTTACACAGTATGGAGTTAGCCCTCTGATACAGCTTCTCCTCAGTTGTGGGAAGGCATATTTACTTAGCAAAATGGAACAGAGCCTCAAACTGCAGCTAGTTTGTTTCACAAACACACCCCGGGCATCCATCCCAGTCATTTTGGAGTATTTGGTAGAACAAAATATCTGCCCTCTCCTTTAGTCCACCTAAGGCTCACACAACCAACACGTATGGTACCAGGGAGAGCTTTTCAGTTCACTTCAGTTCAGTTCAGTTCAGTTCATACATCACATCAGTCCTTTCTGTATCCTGACTTACCTACAAAAGTACCCTGTTTTTTCCTAGTCATTAACCACCAAGGTGCTGTATTGGATGTCTGCAGAGAAGCCACAGCCCACAGCAAAGTGTAAATGTATATACAGCTTCAGCTGGCATTCTTATCTACTAGGAGATAATAGGAAGAGCTTTTGTGTGTTCACAGCTAACTGGCCTTAAATTCCTTAAGGTACTGGACAAGTTGTTATCAGTAATGATGTACCCTGTTCCACTATAGGAATTGACATTGATGTTCGTGGGTTTTGTAGGGCCACAGTTCAAGGCTATGGTGACATTTTTGCTGCTACACTTAACTTTAAACGTGTCTTCCATTCTGCAAGAGTATCTGCCAAGGCATCAAAGCTGATTGTTCTGACAAATCATTCTTGCTAAAAAAAAAAAATCTTTACAAATCCATTTCAAGTTTCCTCCGAAAGTGTTTTCTGAGATTAGTTTAATCCAGAAATTAATTTACCTATTTTGTTCCTTAAATGTCATGGCAGCATCTTGGCTGCCAGCCATCTGTAACACTGGATGTAAGCAAAAAGGAAGGAAGGAAGAGCTTTGTTTTTCTTCACTGTACCAATTTTTTTAAGACAAATCCAAGACCATGCTGAAAGTAAAAGCTACAAATGCCTAGCCATATCCACACTAATAGGTACCTCACTAATCAGTTTAATAAAGCTATGTTGTGAGAAATGTGCTCCATCATTAGAATGTGCTTCACTAGAACTCACTGTATCCACAGTCTTGCCAAGAGCTGTCTCCATCCCTGGTGTTTGCAAAGTGAATACCTGGAACTATATTTATGGCCAAACTTTATACTACTACAAGGGCATCCTTAAAGGATACCGTATTTACCAAGGGCTCCTGAAGTCACTGTTTACCAAAAAAACCCCATATCCCGGTAACTGACTGGATAGGAAACTTCTGCTTGAAGGAACCCACAGTGAATAGTCATGTATGTAAACACTCTAAAATAGAAAAAATATTTATCAATAACTGGAGTTTCCTGAAATGTGTTGGTCTTTTACATATTCACTTCCCTTTCTACTCCACCTCCCCCTCTCATCCCTTCTCCTTCAGTGTCCTTTGGGAAAAATGTTTGCTTCAGGAGTTTGAGTAAACACTGGGACTGCTCCACTATCAAATCATACCTTCACTGAATCACACAATCACAGAACAGTAGACATAGGAAGGGACCTCTGGAGATCATCTAGCCCAACCTTCCCTGCTAAAGCAGGATGGCCTATAGCAGGTTGCACAGGATTGTGTCCAGGTAGGTTTTGAAACTCTCCAGACAAGGAGACTCCACAACCTCTCTGGGCAGCCTGTTCCAGTGCTCTGTCACACTCAGAGTGAAGAAGTTTGTCCTCATGTTCAGATGAAACTTCCTGTGTTCCAGTTTGTGCCTGTTGCCCCTTGTCCTGTCGCTGGGCACCACTGAAAAGAGTCTGGCCCCTTCCTCTAGACACCTGCCCTTTAGATATTTTTAAGCATTGATCAGATCCCCTCTCAGTCTTCTCTTCTCCAGGCTAAACAGACTCAGCTCTCAGCCTTTCCTCATACGAGAGATGCTCCAGTCCCCTCATCATCCTTGTAGTCCTCTGCCGGACTGTCTCCAGTAGTTCTTTGTCTTTCTTGAACTGGGATGCTCAGAACTGGACACAGTACTCCAGATATGGCCTCACCAGGGCAGAGTAGAGGGGGAGGAGAACCTCCCTCAACCTGCTGGCCACACTTTTCTTAATGCACCCCAGGATACCATTGGCCTTCTTGGCCACAAGGGCACACTGCTGGCTCATGGAGAGCTTGTTGTCCACCAGGACTCCCAGGTCCTTCTCTGCAGGGCTCCCTCCCAGCAGGTCAACCCCTAAGCTGTACTGGTGCTTGGGGTTATTCTTCCCTAGGTGCAGGACCCTTCACTTGCCCTTGCTGAATTTCATTAGGTTCCTCTCCACCCAACTCTCCAGCCTGTCCAGGTCTCACTCAATGGCAGCAGAACCTTTTGATGTATCAGCCACTCCTTCCAGTTTGGTATCATCAGTAAACTTGCTGAGGGTACACTCTGTCCCTTCATCCAGGTCGTTGATGAACATGTTGCTCAAGACTGGAGCAAGTACTGACCCCTGGGGAACACCACTAGCTGCAGGCCTCCAACTAGATTCAGTGCCACTTTCTTGTAGGACTGAAATCCTAGATTTGCGTCATGTATACAATTACAGATGCAGATGCTCTTCTACTGGACCTAGCTCTTTAATTGTTCTGGACATGTGAAGAAGCAAATCTCTAGTGTTCAGAGAACTTCCAGGAAAGTTCTTCCAAGGATACTGTGTGGTTTGTAGGTTTGTTTTCCGTAAGTCATAATTTTGATTTGCATCTGATTTCTGCCCAAGACCTTTATTGACTTTAGTCTATCACCACTTGAGCAATCAATTTGAAATTAATTCCTGTCCTCATAGAATATTTAAATCTATACTTCAATATATGTTTAGTTTTCTAAGATGCTGATTTCTGTTAAACTTATTTATAACTTTGTAACTATATAGTTACACAGTTGAGAAAACATAGAATGAATAAAAATATAAAAAAAAAGAGAGAAAATAATTGAAAAGGCAGAGAAATTAACTAAACAAACTATGAAAATGATAGTGTAATAACACTATTTCCATTATGGAATGGAAACAGGGAAACCTGAAAAAAAAATTTGGCATAATAAAATGAGTAAGTGAAACAATTTTGAAAAACAGGCAACAGTGGGAATCTGGAGAATGCAAGATGTAGAAATTCCTATACTTAGCTCCAACAACTGTGCATTTATCAGCATTTGCAGAACCAACTTAGTCTAGCCTGATAAAGTTTCAAATTTCTTTGGGTCTTTGCAAGATTTATCTCCTGGAAAAATACATGGAGCACATTGTAAATGTTTCAACCCTACAGAGAATACAGTGTGCTCCTTTAAGTACATAATAAATTTTCTGGTATTTGGCATATTCCAAAAAGAACGTACTCAAATCAGCATCTCCTGTTCAATATCTGTGCTGTATATGTGTAAACTTGCAATGTGCTGTAAAAATTTTGTGGGTTGACTGTAAACATATTCTATTGGACATTGTTATTTCAAAATCCTTTTCCTAGTTAGTAGCCACAAGTCTTTATAAGCCATATGTTACATTCGTTTTATAGCAGTTATTTGAGCATTAAAACTTGCAGTCAAGAACAGTTTCTGACATACTGCATTTTGTTATATCTATGTGTACCTCAATTTTAGGTAATATTAAAACATTAGTAAGTTTTCTTTGTAAAAAGGTTATGATGACACAAACAGCAGCAAACACATTTAAAGAAACATGGACACATTTACTGCATATATAAGGACAACGATATAATTTAGGTAATGTCAACAGTGCTAACTTTGAGATAGTTGTCTCATGAGGAACACACACCAACAATCAGTCAGTTTTTAAATCTCAGCTAACACTTTTAATTAAGTTCAGAAATTTTCTACTAGTATCCACATTTCTGGTTTTTTTCTAGTAATTCTATTGGCCGAGTGTCCTCATGACAGATATACTTCTCACTTTTGAGAAAAACAGGAAAAGACATTTTCATGTATTCATAAGTCTCGAGACAAGTTTACTCAGTTATACTATTGTCTTAACCACACTGCAAACATCTGGTTATTCTTATTTATGTAAGTATCTTCTGAAGAAATGCATGTTAAACATGTTTAGAAAGATGACAAAAATGCCAATAAATTATAAACACATAATTTAGAGAAAAATTAATTTCTAGGTATAAATAGCTGTAGATCAACAAATTACAGTATTTAAGAAGGTTATTAGTTTAGATTTTGTGATTGAAAGCTTTTTACACGTGTGAAGTAGAATCTTTCCAAATGTCTTCTTTTCTGCCACTAGAGGGTACTCCAAGAACTTACAGTATATTTATAGCAAGGATTTATTTGGGGTTTTTTGGTCTGTAAATGATCAAGTACCGTTGTCATACCAAATCTTAGGAATTTAACCCCCCAAAATCTTGATAATAAACAACTTTCAAAACGAGTCTAATATACCTTTTCAGTAAAATAGTGCAACATACCCTAATTATAAGGAACATGGACTGACATGTAGTTTAGATTTAGTTAAACTTATCCTACTTTTAAATTATCTAAATTATTATATTTTCTTTATTTCAGACACAATTCTCTGGTTCACATCCTGTTTCTTCATCCAGATTTGGACAAGGCATTCCATTATTGGCAGGCTGAAGAAGTACAAAACGAGTTCTGATCTTGGTCCCTGTTTTTCTGCAAAGACCTCTACAGAGACCCCAGGAAGACCATTGTGAAACCTCACAGTCCAGCGGTGTTTCTGCAATATACACACAAAAAAGGGTAACTTTACATAAATTTGTGCTTAAGGCGAATACATAGTTGGCAAAGCAATAAGGAATGATGATCAAATAGTGTCCTTTCTTATACAAAAATACATGTGATATTAATAAAATCCATATGTTGTCTCATAAATAAAAACATCTGTTTTCAGCTGTTAAGCTCATCGACACTGGTATTATTATTATTATTGCAGTCTAGAGACTGTCTGAGGTACTATACCAGTAGTGCAGCATATTACTTATTTAACTGAAAATACAGAATTCCTAGCAAAGAAAACTATGCTTAAAATAAATGTATTAAAAAAACATTTACTGTCAGTTTTATAACTCATTTGCCTTTACATGGTTCACTAAAAACACTAGGATTAAAGCTTTTCTCTGATTTATTTAGGTACACTTATATCTCTTTGCAGATAGATATTGTTCCTATAGTTGTTCATATCAAATTCTATTTACCCTTTGTTCCAGTTTGCTTCAGAAATAAAGAAATGTCCCATTTTTTTAAAATCATTAAATCATCTTCTATTGTTTGGTATGTACACTACATTTCCCTTTGCCAATAAAGATATTCTGTACTAGAAGCTTTTTAATACTAACAGGGTTTTCAATATAGTTTTAATTTACTGCAAGAAAAGAAGTCAGAAACTCTAAAGTACTTTTCATAATGTATACTTCCATTGAAAATATCTCTCATAAAAATACAGGTACTTATTCCTTAGCAGGTTAAATAAAAGTATTGCTTGTCACAGGAAAAATGTGAGAGAGAACATTATTTTTGTTGTCAGGATGTATGTTTCCATCACAAATATGTCCAAATCAATTGAATTATATCAATTCTTATTGCACATAACCATCAAGCCCTCTGATCCAGAAAGAGACAACAATAACAGTTCTTTTGCTCCGTTGTCATGTAAAAACTGAAGGATGAGTATCTACTTCAAAGTTGCAAAGAATTTGGGAACTCCGATTCTAGTCAAATGTTGTTTATTTCTCATTTAATTCACTGATCTATGCTGATGCTAAGGCTTGAGTAACCCTCACTGTGGATATAACCCAAACCTTTGAACTGTAGCTCAAATATGAAATCCCTTCCTTATTCTTTCAGGGATTCTCTTTTATGTCAACTAGCATGTTTTATTTCCCATGTGTGCATCTGGAAACTATTCCTATGCAGATAGTAGAATATTCTACCTAATCACCTATTTCATCCATATCACCTGCCAGATTTCCACGTATTTTCTGAATGAATGGAAATAACAGAATCAAGCATACCAAAGTACTAATCACTTACCTGAAACAGAGTCTATTATTTCATTGCTTTTAGCTGGCAGATTAAGATAAGGTGCAACAAGACCCAGCTGGGTTTTCTTTAATTTCACCATTGTTACTTGAGCAATTGGTGGCAAAATTTTCAGTTTGGGATAATAAAAGGAGTTTGCTGGGTGACTTGGAGAGGAACAAGTGATCTATGAAATAAAAAGGGGAACCTTAAAGAAACTGCATCATATTAGTAAGAAGATAACTGTAAAATTTTGTTTACGCATCATGCTAATATTTTTTGGCAAGTCAAATGCTTATAACCGCTTCCTATGAACCTCAGTTCACACAACTCCTGCTGGTAATCCCAGAAGTTTTATTCATAATGCTTTGAGACTGAGCACAAAGAATCGTGCCAAACTTTGGATAGAGGACTGCGGTGGGAGGTACTGAAAACAGAGTAATGTATGGGATGGTTTGATAGGAGGAAGTAGATGTTACTACAGGGGAGAACACAAGAGTATGAAATAATAATATTAATATGCTATAGCAGCTGTCATACAGATACAGGAGGCCAAATGTATTGTTTTCCAGTTTGTTCCTTTTCTCATTACTCATTAGCACAACATTTGGCTCTAGAAAAACTGACCTTAAAGAAAGGACTGACTGAATACTTATAGTATTCAAAATATTTGAATCAAAATGCTCTGTTCCCCACCACCCTTAAATAACAAAAGCAAAGTATGAGGCGCAGAGAGTATTGAGCGAGCAAAAGAGTTTGGAAGTGGGGTCACCGCAGTAGCGATGGAGAAGTTCTCCTCTGCTTTCCCTTAGCTCTGTCCCTTAAATGTAACAGCTTCAGGTTTCAGCAATGCTTTTGACTGAAAACTCCTCTACACATCAGTATTCACTACTAAGAATTTTCCTGTTTAGATACATGTTTAGTAATGCTAGGACTTTTTGGAACATTTTTATTTTCCTGGTGTTTAAAGAATTGTTAAAAATAACCTTAAAATAGACAGCTTTTACAGAAAATACTTTAAATTTTCATGAACCATCTGCATTTACCTAAAAAATTTGAAAGATACAGAAAATAAACAAAAGCAGTAGGGTTATCAGCTATGTAATAAATCCACAGAGAGCATCAGCAGTCTGAAATACTGAAATCAGTTTCACAAGTCTATCTTGAAGTCAGAGGGTCATTATCTTTTAAAGGGAGGACTCAAAACACATAGGTATGAAGTGCTAAACTACATATATACACCTACCTCTGTAACTGTGTCCTGTGGAATAGTGGCAAAATTTGGGGAGGAAAATGTGAACCCGCTGTCAGTTCCAGCATCATATGGAAATAGGTCTACTGATACTTCTTCCATCCAGTGGTCTCCTTCACAGAGATTTAAGCTGTCAATACCCACAAACCAGTCGGGGCTTGGAACAATTCGTACAACAAATGAAACCTGATGAAAGAAAATGATCCATCAGGATTGCATCACTTATTTTTAAATGCTCCAGTGCTGCTCATAGTAATTTTAACTTAAAATTTCTGAAAGAAATATTATTATGCCCTTCTACTTTATAGAAGCTGTACAGTGCTCCCTGCGATGTGACATGCTTTTTAGTAACTCTTTGCATTATATTTTTCCTACAAGTGAGAACTCAAATATTTAATTTTGTGTGCTAGTGACATAAAATAAACTTTTAAAATTAATATGTACATTTACTTACTAAGGGATGTCTTGAATGCACTTCTAATTCAGTGGAGGTTTGTCCTGTACCACTGGAAATGGCAGGAGCAGAGAAGATTCCATGTACACTCTGAATTTTCTCTCCAGCTTCTTCTATTTCTTTCATTAATAACCATGCTTCACCCTTTTCAGCAAAATCACGTACACCATTGCTGGCATATTCATTTTTTTTCCACATGCTGTAGTCAGAACTATGAGTAACACCTATTTGAGTGAATACATGGCATGACATAAAAGTCTGGTTTAGATTGTCCCTATTTCTTCAGTTTCTCTGTTTTATTTCTGAGGTTAAAAAAATTGTGTATAAAAATGAGTGAACACTAAAACATTTGGCTTATCACTGTTTATTTCAGCTGCAGCCAATTGGAAACAGAAGTCAATTGAAAACAGTTGTAGATTTTTGAAAGCATTGTGGATACTTCAATTTCTGCATTTCATTCTTAATAACTTTTGCTATTTTTTTCCCTTTTTCATTAATTATCTTAAAATTGACTATTAAGAAGGAAAAAAAAAAAAAGAAAGAAAGATCACAGCGGTCAGATTTATCTGTTCTTAAAGTTCTAGATACTTCACTTACCTAGCATCGATGACCACTGTGCTGGGGGCCTATAAAGTGGATACTGCTTAGGGAAAGCAGTCTGACTCCATTTCCCCGTGAAGATTATGCTGTACTTAGCAAGTTCCTCTGCCGTGCAAATAGAATCATCACCCACAGGCAAGCTGCTGGCATAACCTAGTATTGTTACAAGTAACGTCCAGATAACTTTACAGGAGTGGTAGACAAACATCAGGTTTTCCATTCCCTTCCACACAAAAAGAAAAAAAAAAAAATGTTAGCCATATTAGTCACTCTAAACTCAAAATTGAATAACAGTTACCTAATAAAATGTAATGTACCGTAAGTTATAACCAAAAAGAAAGCATATATCTGAAACACTAAAAATGGTTATGCTTCTAAAAACATTATTATAATGCTTTTGGATTTGATATTTCCATGCTATATACTACAAATCTGTAACTCTACCTGGGACAAGTGTTTCTAATGAAAATAAAAATATCTTAACCTTGTCCATAGTACTACCTCTGAGAAAAATCTGTTTCTGATTTTCTTTTGAAATCTTATTAGAGTCACATCTTGAATTAATTAGAGTAGCAACTGTTTCTGTGGAAAACATTAGTGGTATATTTATTCTTCTAAAGATTAAATTGCAGGTTAGTTTGCCAAAAGAAATGATTTATTTTAAATTTGTGTTCTACAAAGGCTGTTTTATGGCATAACATTTAAAGTCAAATACATTTCATATTTATATAAATTATTTGCTGTCATAACGTGTGCATTAAAAATACATTGTAATTGCTTCAGATTTTTTAAGCTACACAGTTGTTAAAAACCAATATTTTTAAAAAGTTGCTGTCATAGGTTGTGCAAATTTTGTTTTTAAATTAATATGGTAATTGCATCAGACTGTTGAACTCCAGTGATTGTTTAAAATAACAGCCTTAAAAACTTATTTTTAAATGCTTTTGTCCTTTGAGAAAACTATGCAAATAAAACTAAAATGCTAATAATATATTAATTTGTAAAAAGAGCTGTGAATACTCACTAAATATTTCCTCTGGATCACTGGTAGGGGGAGAGCACCTGCTTTTGCTGGCAGCTGCGTTGGTCTGCAAGAGAAGACAGTAGGAGTCTTGCTATTTATGCCTGAAGAGGGTCCCTTTGGTCCAACAATTATTGTAATCTTTAGACTTTCCAGGTTTGCAAAAAGCATGCCATCTTCTTGTTTGCAGTCTTTTTGGATGGACTATCAGAGGTTTCCTGTCTGTCAACTGGTTCAGGTTCCTATCAGAAGACTCTGATGCCGAATAGACGAAATGCTTTAAAAAAATACCTTGGATTCTCAGGAACAGTTTGAGTTTTCTGGTGCCTTTACAGTTCTCTGCTCTTATTAATGCCTCCAAGCTATACAAATGAACCGATTCCAACACTGAAATAGTTCTGGTGAATACACTTTAAATGAGAAGCATGTTTTCTTGTAAGTTTTATTGTCTGACAGATGCTCCTTCCAAACATTTACAGAGAGCTTGCTCACTCTCACACACCATATGTATGTGTTCAAATAAAAGGGGTGAGGCAGCTAAAAAAGTCAAGAGGGAAAAAAAAAGTTACATTTCATAATTGCACATACTCACACAGACGGTGTCTCCTGCAAATATGAATTAATTTAAAGTAGTACAGTGTATATTTTTGTGTTCTACAGTACCGTATGCTGGATGATGAAAGGGCTCTGTAACATTGTGGTTTCTTTGGAAAGA